TCGGTTACTCTGGGCATTCCTTTAAAAATAGAGTTTTTATAGATGTTTTACAGAGTTTTACAAAGAGATAGGTGACCTTTCTTGTTTTGTTTTAACAGGCTCTGAGAGAGTGGGTACAGTGAGATTGGTTAATGGTCTGTGTGCTTACCAGAAGTAATGGTGCCTGCTCTTACTTAAAATGCTTCTTTTGTGCTTCTTGCCTCATAGTCACACCTTCTAGAATGAAATGAAATACTGTTTCAGATTCCCTTGAATCATTTAATCTTTAATTTTTTTCCTAGCTAATGAAGATATTTTAGTAATTTAGCTATTTAATTTAAGTGAAAGTTAATATAGAAATAACTTCATATAATAACCCATAGTGTATTAGAATGACATAGTGGAGGTAGTTAGAAACTGCATGACCTCAGGCAAGTCACTTAGTATTCAGAGCCTCGAAAATGGTTGTATGATATCTGTTTTACTGGATTATTATAATGATCAAATGTAAGCATTATGTGTAAAAGTGCTTTAAAGTGCTACATAGGTGTTCAACTTAAAGAGCAGACTTGCATTCTACTCTGACTTTTTCCATGACTGATAAAAATTTTTTGTCCTACTTATGTTGCTTTTTGTCCTACTTATGTTGCTTTATAGCTGAATTGTAGTGTATCAGTTGAACCTCAGCTGAGTTATATTTTGTCAGTTGGGTCTCTTTTAAAGCTTGGTCTTTGAAAATAAATGTTTTCTTTAAGCAAAATGAAAATATAGGATTACTTCTGCTTGTCAGAGGAGAAGAGTTTCTTCATTAATGTTTAAATTTCAGTGAGATACAGCTTTCATTTCTGTCAGGACGGTAGACCAGGTAACCTGAGCAAACCTCTCACTGAAAACAATAAAAGTACATGCCAGATGTAAAAATATTTCATAAATGCATCGTTGAGCTCTGTTGAGGTATACACAGGCCGAAACTAAACTGACCACAACCCCCTGATCAAATTTAATATTATCAAAATAGGAAATAACATTATGTGTCTTTCCTGATGGGATGTGGCATAGTGAAAAAGATAACTCCTAAACTATTTTTTGCTAAGAATACTTAATTTAAAACTAAATGAGAGGCAATAATGGAGAAACCAAAAGTGTGCTTTGGTCTTTAGAAATCTGACTAACTCACACACTAACCAAGGCAATGGAAGAGCCACAACATAAATGAGAAGATGATCCTTGATTGGATCGTGGATCCAAGGAAAGGGTCTTTTTTAAGGATAATATTTTAATACTTATACTCTTAGGCAGTTTTTGATCATGAGCTCTATATTGAATAATAATATGTCAATATTCAATTTCTTTAACTTGATACTGGTATTGGCGTTACAGTTATATAGGAGAAGGAAGTATGTAGGGGTAAAAGCATCAGTGTCTGTGAGTTAAATTTCCAGTAGGTTTGAAAGTTTTCAAAGTAAAAACTTGGAGAGAAAATTTAGAGTTGAGAAATATGAAATGTTTATGAAAAATGAAATGTATATTTTTTAGTTATAAAGATAATAGATTAGCAAAGGTAAATACCAAAATGGAGGATAGTGTTGTAAATGAGGTGATTCTTCATCTTTTGTACCAGGAGTCAATAGCTATTTTCTAACTCATAAATCAGTGTATACTAATAATAGGATTTATTAAAAGATTTCTCTATGACTGGCACTGGTCTAATACTTAATTCTTATGTTAACTCTATAACGTACATGCTATTATTATTCATATTCACATAGAAGTAAATTAAGACACAGACAAATTCAGTAATTTCCCCAAAGTTACACAACCTAATAATAAGTGGGAGAGCAGAAATGCACAGGTAGTTTGGATATTACATTAAATGATTACCTTACAAGGAAAAGGATAAGATACCACCAAAGAAGGTGAAAGGAAAGTAATGAAACAGAAGGTATACATTTAATACAGAGAACCAAGAAAGTCAAAATTTTATTCTTTTGAAGATAAATTAAACTTTTGGCAAGACTAATTTAAAAAAGAAAGAAGACACAAATAGGCCTTGCACAGTGGCTCACGCCTAGAATCCTAGCACTCTGGGAGGCCGAGGTGGGTGGATTGCTTGCGCTCATGAGTTCAAGACCAGTCTGAGCAAAAAGCAAGACCTCGTCTCTACTGAAAATAGAAAAGGCTGAGGCAAGAGGATTGCTTGAGCCCAAGAATTATAGGTTGCTGTGAGCTATGATGACACCATGGCACTCTACCCAAAGCATCAGCTTGAGATTCTGTCTTAAAAAAAAAAAGCACAAATAAAATTAGATGTGAAAAGAACATATAACTAGATATGCTAATATAACTAAACATTAAACGATCTAAGGATATTATAAAAAAAAGTTTTGCACACAGATATAAAAACTTAGACCAAATTATAATTTTTCAAAACTGACTCCAGCAAAGACAAATATCTAGATAGTTCTCTCATCATTGAACATTTTAAATACACATATCTAGTTTATACTACTTGGTAAAAGAGAATTTAGACGGAGTTTTTACTAAAGGAACAATCCACTCTTACATAGCTATTTCAAAATACACAAAAAAGAGGGCATAATCCCACTGTATCATATGAATCTATTATAAACATAACTAACCTGATGAAAATAGTGTGAGAAAGGATAATTATAAACCAATTTAACATAGGGGTCAAAAATACCTAAACAATATTAAAAGTCAAATTCACAAATATATAAAAAGGACCAGGGATGCCCAACCTGAGGCCTGTAGGTGGCGTGTGGATTATTTGAGGCTTGTTTTGCTTATCTGTGGTGTTGGACATCGTGAAAATTAAGCACAAACCTTTTTTTTGCTCACCAACTTATGTTACTGTTTGTATATTTAATGTTTGGTTCAAGACACATTTTTCCAATGTGCAGCAGGAAGAAAAAAATGGTTGGACACCCCAGATCCATCATGACCAAGTTGGATTTATTTCAGTCATGCAAAGATAATTTAACATACAAAAATGTTTAGCTGGGCATAGTGGTGTGTACCTATAGTTCTGACTACATGGGAGGCTGAGACAGAAGGATTGCTTGAGCCCAGAAGTTTGAGTCCAACTTGGGCAATATAAAGAGACTCTGTCTCTTAAAAAACAAACAAAGTTTGAGATAATTTACTGTATAAACAGAGTAATGGGAAAAAATGGTATGCTTATCTCATTAAATGTAGAAAAAGTATTTGTGGGCACAGAGAAATGTAAAGGTCATAGGAAATAAAGGGGGGAAAGTGGAGGTGGGGGTAAAACCCTACCTGTCAGATACAGGGAACACTATTTGGCTAATGAGCATACGAAGTGCCCTGATTCAAGCAAAATAAAAGGTATCCATGTAACAGAAACATTTTACCCCTTTAATATTCTGAAATTTTAAAAAAGAAACTGCTAAAAAAATTCAAATTCTTTAAAACATACTAAAAAAGGTATTTGATAAAAATTAACATTTGTTCATATCTGAAACTATAAATACTAGCAAACTAGGAATAGAATTTTTTTAATGTGGAAAAAAATGATCTCTCATTCTATTAAGATTGAGAGCAACTCTGTTGATATGTTCAAATTAGTTAACTTTTTCTCATATAACTAGTGAGTTTAACCAGGACCTCTTGGAAGCAATGACTCTTAACCCAGAGGAATGAGTCTAAAGATAGGAATTTTAGGTCCACTATGGTCAGTAGAGGAAATACTTTGGCAAGCCTTTTAATGTTCTTCAAATCTTATTTATCTGCAGAGATTACTGTTTATGCATTTTCATTCATCTAATAAATACTTATTAAATATCTATACTATACATACCAGGCTCTCTTTTGGCTGGGACACCTTGATGAAAGAAAGTCCTTGTTGTCATGAAACTCAGTTTAGTGGAGGACGTAATAGAACAGTCAGAAGACACTATGACATGTGGAGAAGAATGTACAGAATGCCTGGGAACACAAGGAAGCTCACTAATGCTGACAGAGAAAGAAAAGTTTCTTTCTCCCTTCATCAGTATATCTAAATCCCAGGGAAAGATTCTGGCCCACCTTGGATTATGTTTATGTCCTTTGAACAATCATTCTGAGCAGAGAGTAAGGTGCTGTGATTGTTTAAGCCAAGTATAAGTTAGTTCCCCTGGGTGAGAATGGAAGGACATTTGAGTTTGACAGATCCATCAAAACCACACAGAATACGGGGTTGAGGGGTCAGAGAGCTCAGTTTCCCAAAGGAAGGGGGGGTGCTTTTTAGAAGAAGGGGAAAAGAAAATGCCACACAGATAGCCACAGGTTTCTGCTAAGGCACTTACCTGTGTCTCACATTTTGGTACTTTTCTCTGATGTTGTGATTATAAACTCATTAAACGTAGACTTGTAGATGTCAACTTGGGAATCAGACAGCCTTAGGTTGGATTGTCTTGGAATCCTTTGTAGTACTTTGCAAACAACTAGCAATTGTTTGTTTCAACTTCCTGTTTGGAGTTCTTTTCATTATTTTGGCTCACATAGTCATAGTTTAGGCAGACATCTTTTCTGTTTTTAGTTGTGAACTAAATTATTTAATGATTATTTTTTGTGTGTAGCTCAAGATCTTTTTGGATACAAGTTATTGGTAACTTGGTTAAACTACATATCTCAAAAACATAGCTAAATGAAATTCCTCTTCAAATATTAAGCAAATTGTTCCCCCATATTTTTAATCAATTGGTTTTTAATGAAAATGAAATACTAAATCAAAGAATTGCCTTGTTAAAGATTCTGTGTTCCTTAGAAATTAATTGATGCTAAAGTAGATGATTTTAATGTGTATTTATCTCAGTGGCTACCTAGCTTAAATATTTATTGAATTGAAGGCTTTTTATCACCTAGATATTTTTTAAAACTTCAAATCTTTTAAATTCAGTTTAACTTACTTTAGGAGTTTTGTCTTTTAATGCAAATGCTACATTAATATTTACAAAATATTAAAATCATTCATGTATTGATTATTTTCATTTTCTCCTTAGGAACTGAGAGAAAGCTATAATACACAACAGTTAGCCCTTGAACAACTTTATAAGATCAAACGTGACAAGTTGAAGGAAATTGAAAGAAAAAGATTAGAGCTAATACAGAAAAAGAAACTAGAAGATGAGGCTGCAAGGTAATATAGCTATATTATTAAATTCTAATTTTGTTGCTGATATTTTTAACTATGAAAATGTGAGGGGAATAAAATCCTAGCATCTAGGATGCTAGTCAGATTCTAGGTTTTTTTAAGTTAAATCCTCATTTTAAGGACTGAGTTTGCAGTAACCAATTTTATGTTTCGTTAGTGAAAAATACAGACTTTGGATTCAGACCTATCTTAGAATTCATTCTTGATCCACCATCATTTCCTATCAGGATGATTTTAGTTTAGTCATTTGACCTTTCTGAACTTCATTTCTCTATCTGAAAACAGACATTAATGCATACCTCATAGGTAATTCTTAAAATGAAATAAATTAATGTGGCTAAAGAGCCAAGTATAATTCTTGTACATAGTAAGCACACATTAATTCCATCTGTCTATGGTGTATCTGTTACTATTTTCTGATAGATCATAAAAACATTTAATTTTATAAAGTAATACTGAGTATATAATGTCATATTGATGCATTTTTCTTTATACCACTGAGATATATTAATTGCCTTCATTTATAGCATCAAGTAAGATAGTTGTAGTGTTTGAAGCCTACAATTCATTTAGAGACTTTGAATGATTTGTCTTTGATGTCATAAAGATTCTTTTTCTAATATATTCCTCTGTTTCTCCCAAGTTCTCTAGTATCTAAGGAAATTAATGTAACTAGTTAGCAAATATTGATGAGCCAGTATTTCTTTGCCTTGGTAAAGAATAGATGAGTTATGTAGATGAAAGAGCTAATAATTACTAGGGAGACAAGAAAGACACATCACCATTTAGCAGGCTTTTGTTATAAATAGCTTCAAAATAGCCACTTCCAACACATTTTTGTTGAACGGCTGTTGTCAACTATGACACCAGTAGACTCTGAATTGCTCCTTGCCTCCTGAGTTCCTCATAATTTTACTAGGATAGTCAGGCAGTAAAAAATAGCATAATACTATTTACTCCCAGAACCCTATTTTTGTGGTCTTCTAACAAGAAATAACAGAATAATGTAGAAGTAGAGACAGTAGAGTGCAAGCTAAATAGGCTTATATTTGCCACTTGTGCCACTTAACATTGCACAAGGGAACTGTGTAGTGGTTACATAACTAGTCCCTATGTTAGAGTTTTTAATTGACATATGCATTTAACTTGACACTAATTTGTCTTACTCAAAATTTTCAGTCCAGCAAATTATATTAGTAATACATATTTCAATTCATTCTTAATTTTTGCATATTATCGTAGTAGATAGAGAGGAGATTTCAAAGAGAGCAGAAGTATCTGCAGGATCTGATCAGTACAGAGCTGGGTCTTCGTACCACATCTTGGTTTGGTTGGCCACTTACCCAGCTATGTTCCCTTCTCCCAAGCTGTTGCAAATAGGTTTTCCTATTGTAGATGTGGCCTCTTTGCCCTTTGTTCGGCTCCTAAGGCATCTCTTTGCATTGGACCAGTCACTCATCCATTAATTTACAAGAGAAAGTTTACCAGAATCCTGGCTCAGTTTCCTGGGAGTGTGCTCAGCCTAGTTCACCTCCCCTCAGTTGAGCCAGAGTAGAGGGGCCAGATATCCTCCCCTGTGGGAGAGGTATTTAAGAAAGGAGCTTTGCCTGGGCTGTCCTAGCTTCACATTTTCTTGGCCATAATAACCGGCACAAGGAGAAGCTGGTGGAAAAGATGAAGAGCTGGGGGCAATGCTAGGGATGGGGAGGGAAAGTCAACAAGTTTATCAGAATCTAATGAATTCTCTGGTCTTTTCTTTCTCCCAGTAAGTATGTGGTAAGTACTTTGCTAGTGGTATTTGTTGTACTATTGAAATTCACATGAATCCTGGGCTTGGGAGAGTATCAAGGAAGTTACAGAGGAACAAGGAAGGGGAAATTAATAATGAAGACAGCAAGAGAAGCATTGTCCTCAAAGATGAACCAGATTTCAGTTATAGAAAGCAGTTGGAAGAAGCATTTTGTGATGTGATAGAGGACATAGGAGGGTTTGTAAAGAGTTGGGAGGAAGCTAGTAATGGGAGAATGAATTAGAAGTATAAAGTATAAAACACTTTGGGGTTAAGGGGAAAAAGGTGATGACTAAAGCCCTAAAGATTTTTTTAAGTATTCAGGATTTCTAAATTAGAAATATGGAATTAGGGTGGTGCCTATGGCTCAGTGAGTGAGGTGTCAGCCCCATATACTGAGGGTGGTGAGTTTAAACCCAGCCTGGGCCAAACTGTGATAACAAATAAGTAAATAAACTTAGTTTTAAAAAATATATGGAATTATGCTAAGATTCTCACTTTGGTGGAATGTAAATGCTCCCATATCATAGGGATGTATTCAGCCCCAACTCTTACTGTCCCTAATAATGCTTAGCTTTGGAGAAGGTACTAAATTTAGTGGTGGCAGCTCTGCCTCTTAGAAGGTCATAAAAATACACTCAAACAAGAGCTAAAAATTATAGTACATTAGTTCTAATACCAAAATAAGTATGATCACAGATCAATGACTGACTAGAAACCCACACTGTAGCTGCATCAGATATCATAGAAGCCTTTATAGAAGCATGGACCTATAAAGGAAAATGCCCGATTATCTAAGCAAATGAGAAAAGACTTTTTGAAGTGACAATATAAAAAGTAGGTAATCTTCTCAGAAACACTTCCAGTTTCCACAGCAATAACTAAATCCCCAAAACAGAGTTTAGATGGGATAGTACGAATAAAACCTGGAAGGTAGTCCTTGTGAACAATTTGGAGAGAAGGGAAGGAAATTTAGATATAATTTTTAAATTTGTTTGCTGAATGATTCCATTTCAACTTTTTTCCTTGGGTTTTACGTTTGGTTGGCCAGAGGGAATTAATTGGAAGGCATGGGAAATTGTCAGCCATCCACCCCAGTTCATTCATTAGACAAGGCTCCTTTCTTGACTGATTATGTAGTTTTCTCTCTCATCTGTGGTCCCTACTGTTTTTCCCTATCCCTCTACTAATATCTCTTGACTAGTTCTTTTTTTTTTTTTTTATTGAATGGTAACTATGTACATTAATGCACTTCTGGGGTACAGTGTGGTGTTTTCACACGCAATCCGAAACCCTTCCATCAAACTGGTTATCATAGCCTTCATGTCATTTTCTTAGTTACTATTTTAAAACGTTCACATTCTACTCTTAGAAAGATTCACTTGTACCCTTGTAAGATAAACCTCAGAAGTGATCCCTCCAATCCTCCTCCCTCCACTCATTCCCCTCTCCCTCCCTGCTCCCCGTATTCTTAGGCTGTTATTAGGTTATAGCTTTCATATGAAAGGTATAAATTAGTTTCATAATAGGGGTGTGTACATTGGATACTTTTTCTTCCATTCTTGTGATACTTTGCTAAGAAGAACATTTTCTAGCTCCATCCATGTAAACATGAAGGACGTAAAGTCTCCATCTTTCTTTATGGCTACATAGTATTCCATGGTGTACATATACCACAGTTTGTTGATCCATTCGTGGATCCATGGGCACTTGGCCTTCTTCCATGACCTGGCATTGACTAGTTCTTAAGCTTGACAGGAAAGAAATCTTCTATTAGGTATTTTTTTATTTAGTGTAAAATAAATTTTAGCACCTTATGCAAACTCTTTTTCTTTTATTTAAAGGAAAGCCAAGCAAGGAAAGGAAAACTTATGGAGAGAAAATCTAAGAAAGGAGGAAGAAGAAAAACAAAAGCGACTCCAGGAAGAAAAAACACAAAAAAATCAAGAAGAGGAACGGAAAGTTGAAGAGAAAAAATGTAAGGAAAGATAAAAATAATACATTTGATATTTTTTGAGGCAGAACTATTAAAGTGACAAGGAAAAAATGATCTGATAAGAAGCAAAGAAAGGAGAAAATTAAAACAGAAAGATGCTAATTTTAAAGTCATAAAAAGTATTTTTCTAAATTAAAAGTGGTTGAGATGTGTGTAGGTGTTAAATCAGATTGAAGGTAGAACTCTTAACACAACAGGAAAACTGAATATAGTTACCATGACTGACTAAAAAGACCCTGACCTGGTTTTCATAGTTAGAGTAAAATAGCTTTAAATATTTTATTCAACCAGTAGAACTAAGCTTTTTATTTCAATGGAACCACAGTAAAATTTTGAGTCTTTGCACAATGAAATTTTGTCAAAAGGTATACTTTGTTTTTTGATACACCTGTCTCAGAGTTCATTCTAAAACACTTGGAGTGTTACTTTTTCATAATCCTTTGAATCAATATTGATACAACATGTTGAAAACTTGATAAGCTAAAGGATTTATTCCAAAAAATAATTGAAGTAAAAATTATCAAATCCAGTATATTTGTGAACTCTTCTGTTTTTCTTTTAGTAGCATACTGATTGTAGATCTTCCTTCAACCAGCCTTGTTTGCTTACTAGTCTTCTCATTTGTGACCTCCTTTTTCGTGCTTTCTTCCCTTTTATTTTCTGTACTGTGACTCTGCCGGGTCTCCTTCCCCTCTGTGCAGCTCACCAGCACTCCCATGCCTGCCTGTAGACCCATGGACATGCTGCCGCTTTGTTTCATTGCCTCCTATTAGGATTAACATCCTAGTCTGCTCTTATGTTGATTATATGACTAGTTAAAATATTTAAATCCTAAGAAGTTTGTGTCAAATGGCTTTTCACTATACTGTTTTAATGCTCAATTTTTCTTTAGATTTTAAGATCTTTATTGACTCATACAAAGATATGTATACATGAAATTAGCAAATAATGACAATTAATCTTCTTTTTAGGTGAGACAGCTAGTGTTTTGGTGAATTATAGAGCACTATATGCCTTTGAAGCAAGGAACCATGATGAGATGAGTTTTAATTCTGGGGATATAATTCAGGTAAGAAACGGTCTATTTTTGTCCTGAATAAGCTTTATACATCATAATACATTACTTACTGTGATAATATTGATCATAATTTTAATAGTTATTTTCCTTCTGAAATATTTCTTAAACATTATCTCATTTGACTCTTACAACGTACCTTAGAGCTGCATAGGACGTTACTATCACCACCATAATTCCAGGCAAGGCAGCTTTGACTCACACAAATAAAGCCATATACTCTCACCCCACTCTGGCCCTTCATTGCTGTTAGCATTGAAGTGCCAGAGTGGGGTGCAAGTATATGGCTTTTGATTTCCAAATCGAGTGTTCTGTCTACTGTGCCATAGAAGGCTGACTGCTTTCTGGCAACTGTTAAGAGTTGAAGGAGTTAGGTTCTACAGCCCTAACTGGATACAGGCCATTTGTTCCTTGAAACAAAAAGACCTTTATTGTATTATTCCACTCCCCGTAAAATGGATGAATAAGAGAAGATCTGTGGGATAGTGTTTGGGGACAGCCACTGTGACATAAAGGAGGTAAAGGGAGAGAGTATGGACTGCTACCAGCCTTAGAACAGACCTCTCCCACAGAGAGCCAGGCTGGTGGAGTAAGAATGTAAAGTTAGCTATGGTATCTTGGGTACTGTGTGCTCTGCTGAATCATTAACATAAAGAATGAGTTGGCTCGGCACCTGTGGTTCAAGCGGCTAAGGCGCCAGCCACGGACACCTGAGCTGGCGGGTTCGAATCCAGCCCGGGCCCGCCAAACAACAATGATGGCTGCAAGCAAAAAATAGCTGGGCGTTGTGGCAGGTGCCCGTGGCCCCAGCTACTTGGGAGGTGGAGGCAGGAGACTTTCTTGAGCCCAGGAGTTGGAGGTTGCTGTGAGCTGTGATGCCACAGCACTCTACCCAGGGCAACAGCTTGAGGCTCTGTCTCAAAAAAAAAAAAGAATAAGTCATGGCTCATGCCTAGCACTTTGTGAATCCAGTGTAGGAGAATCACAAGACTGGGACTTCAAGACCAACCTAGGCAACAGCACAAAACCCCCATCTTTACTAAGAAATAAAAAAGAATTAGCTATATGTCATGGCACATACCTATAGTCCCAGGTACTTGGGAGGTTGAGGCAAGGGAATTGCTTGAGCCCAAGAGTTGGAGGATGCTGTGAGCTGTGATGCCACGGCATTCTACCGAGGGTGACATAGTGAGGCTCTTATCTCAAAAAAAAAAAAAAAAAAAGAAAGAAAGAAAAAAAAAGTCATGGGTTACTACCTGAGATACCTAATTTAAACAGTTTAGTTGATGATGGTGTCATTAACTGAGAGAAAAATCAGAGAGAGGAAATGTAAGTGGGAATTGCAGAGATCGGGGCTGAGGATATAAATTTGTATGTTATCAGTGTGTTGTAATGGAAATGGAAGACATGAAAGTTGTGGAGCTCATTCAGGGAAAGGGTAAAGTGAGAGAGAGAAAGATTGAGAATGCAATCCTGAGAAATACGGACGCTGAAGGGGTTAGAGGAAAGGGAGCCGTAAATGAAATAGCTAGAGGTAGGAAGAGGACAGGAGAGTTTTGTGTCAGGGAGCTTTGAGGAGAGTGATCTGCAAGTGGAATAAGACAAAGACTAAATCTATATATTAGATTAGCAAGAACACTTGTAGTGTTAACCCAACGACAGTATCAATGGTATGGAAGGGTGGAGCAAAAGCTAAATTTTAGTTAGTTGAGGTGTAAATTGGGAGGAAGCAGAGACAGAGAGATTGACTTTGAAGGGAGGAAGGGAGAAAAAGAAGATGGTAAATAAAACTATGTTGTAAAATTATACAAAATATAACATGATAAATTTTGATTAGCAATTTATATAAACTAAACACTACAAGAACCCAGAATGAAGCAAAAACACCAAATAGAATTGTGGAACGTTTTCTCCAGTGATGGGAAAGAGGAAGGCCTCAAAAGATTAGACTTTATATTTGCATATTGCTTTATAGTTTCTTGAGCACTTCTATTAATATTCTCACTTCAAATCTTAACATGGAAGAAGACAGTGCAGGTTATAATATTTTCCCCCAAATTTATAGGTAAACAAACAGACTTTGGATAACATTTGTTATCATAACAGATAAGAGCCAGGTAGCCTGACTAAGACTGAAACATGGTTTACTCCCAGTCTGTGGCCCTTCCTCTAAACAATATAACCTTCTGGGCAGAAGGAATACCTTGAACAAAAGCATTGAGGCTTGTGAGTGCCAGGTGAATTGAAAGAATTTCACATACCCAGTTGCCTATGGGTCAAATAATAGGAGATGAAACTAGAAAGGTGAATTGAAAACTCATTTCACAAGCCTTAAAATCTACACTAAGAATCTGAACTTTGGGCTTTAAAATGGAGAGACAGCATCTGCTAAGAGGAACATTATAATGGATCTAGAGTGACTTAGCATAGAACAAAAGGCATTGATACTAGAAAGAGAGAAATAAGACTTTTATTTTCAGAAGATGTGATGGTCTATGTAGAAAATCCCATAGAATCTATTAAAAAGCTAGTAGTACTAATGAGTGAGTTTGAGTTTAGCAGGGTTGTAGGATACAAGATCAGTATACAGAAATCCGTTGTATTTCTGTATATAAGCAATGAATATTCAGAAGCTGAAATAGAAATACTGTTTAAGTAGCACAAAAATATAAAACTGACAAAAGATTTGTAATGCGTGTTTATTAAAAATTATTGAATTTTGGCTGGGTGTGGTGGCTCACCCCTATAACCTAGCACTCTGGGAAGTCAGAGTGAAGAATCTCTTGAGCTCAGGAGTTGAGACCAGCCTAAGCAAGAATGAGACCCCTGTCTCTACTAAAAATAGAAAAATTAGCTGGGTATAATGGTAGGCACCTATAGTCCCAGCTACTCAGGAGGCTGAGGCATGAGGATTGCTTGAACCTACTACTGTGTTTCCCCGAAAATAAGACCTACCCAAAAACTAAGCCCTAGCAGGAGTTCTATGCATTTGTTAAATATAAGCCCTACCCTGATAATAAGAGCTAGTGATGCATTTCGGCATGGAGACATCCCCTGAAAATAAGCCCTAGTGTGTCTTCTTAAGAAAAAACAAATATAAGACAGCATTTTATTTTTGGGGAATCACAGTAGGAATTTGAGGTTGCTGTGAGCTAGACTAAGGCTATGGCACTCTGACCCAAGCAACAGAGTGAGTGAGACTCTGTCTCAAAAAAAAAAAAAAAAAATCACAGAGTTTTATTGAGAAAAATTGACCTAAATAAATGAAGAGTTGCACACGTATAATGTTGACAGACGGAAGACTCTGTATTGATAAAGAGCTATTGTATAGAATCAAGGTAATTTTAATCAAAATCTCAGCATGTTTTTTTTTGTAGAAATTGATGATCTGATTCAAAAACCAAAAAACTCTGAACAAGGAGAACGAAGTTGGAGAATTTTTTTTTTTTTTTTTTTTTTGAGACAGAGTCTCACTGTGTTGCCCTGGGTAGAGTTCTGTGGTATCACAGCTCACAGCAACCTCAAACTCTTGGGCTTAAGTGATTCTCTTGCCTCAGCCTCCCAAGTAGCTGGGACTACAGGTGCCTGCCCGGCTATTTTTTGGTTGGAGTTGTCATTGTTGTTGACGCTGTGCTACGGGCACTAGAGATTTTTAATTACCTAAATTTAAGGCTAATTATAAAAGTTACAGCAACCAAGACAATTGTAGCATCCAGGTAGGAAAATAGATCAGTGGAACAGAATAAATAGAACTACACCCACATAAGTATGTATATGCATATGAACACTGGTTTTGACAAAGGTACAAAAGCAACTCAGGGAAAAAAGGATAATCCTTTCAGCAAATGTTGTTTGAACAATTAGATATTTATTTCCAAAAAATGAATTTTTATGGTAGCACCTGTAGCTCAAAGGAGTAGGGCGCCATCCTATATGCCAGAGGTGGCGGGTTCAAACCCAGCCCCAGCCAAAAACTGCAAAAAAAAAAAAAAGAAAAAAAGAATTTGTATTTATTTCTTACAACACATGCACAAATTAACTCAAAATAGATCAAACATAAAACCTAAAACATAAATCCCAAACTATAGAACTTCTTAGAAGGAAATATCAGAGAAAATCTTTATGACTTTGGGTTACTCAGAGTTTTTTTTAGTTTCTTAAATACAACAAAGAAGCTAAGATACAGTTTTTCCTTTTTGAGAAAAAATGTTCTATAATTGATTGTGGTACTGGTTTCATAACTCTGCGAATGTACTAAAAACCATTTAATTGTACACTTTCAGTGGGGGAATTGTACGTGAATTATATCTGAATCAACTGTTACTAAAAATAAAAAAACCTGCTTCTACCATATGACTCAGCCATTCTCTTCTTGGGTATTTACCCAAGAGAATTGATCAAGCATATGTCCATACAAAGACACATGTTCGTAGCAGCTTTGTTTGTAAAAGCCTAAAACTGGAAACTCCAATGTCTATCAGCATGTAAAAGGATAAACAAATTGCAGTATTTAACAGATGCAGTATTACTCAGCAATAAAAAAGAATAAACTGTTGATAGAGGGCAGCACCTGTGGTTCAGTGGGTAGGGCACCAGCCCCATATACCAAGGGTGGCGGGTGGCTGGTAGGGCACCAGCCCCGGCCAAACTGCAACGAAAAAAAATAACCAGGCATTGTGGCAGGTGCCTGTAGTTCCAGCTACTCAGGAGGCTGAGGCAAGAAAATCGCCTAAGACCAGAAGGGGGAGGTTGCTGTGAGCTGTGACACACAGCACTCTACTGAGGGCGATAAAGTGAGATTGTTTCTAAAAAACAAAAAAAAAAACCTGTTGGTTTGGCGCCTGTGGCTCAATCGGCTAAGGCGCCAGCCACATACACCTAAGGTGGCAGGTTCGAATCCCTAGCCCGGGCCCGCCAAACAACAATGATAGCTGCAACCAAAAAATTGCCGGCACTGTGGCGGGCACCTGTAGTCCCAGCTACTTGGGAGGCTGAGGCAGGAGACTCACTTGAGCCCAGGAGTTGGAGGTTGCTGTGATCTGTGCGGCCATGGCACTCTGCCCAGGGGGATAGCTTGAGGCTCCGTCTCAAAAAAAAAAAAAACTGTTGATACAGCATGATTGTATCTCAAAATATACCTTGTAAAAGAAGGTAGAACAAAAAAAAGGATACATACAGTATGATTTTTATTTATATAAAATTTTAGAAAACACAAACCAATGTATAGGACAGAAAGCAGGCCAGTATTTTCCTAGAGATGGAGGACAGGCAGCTAGCTCATGGGGGGCTGTGAGAGGAGAGGACTTTTGGGGATGATAAATATGTTATCTTGATTGTGGTAATTTTTTATGGGTGTATACATATGGTAAAATTTATCAGATTTAATACCTTAAATGTGAAATTTATGTTATGCTTCAAAAAGCTGTTTTTTAAAAATCTTAATGGATTCTACATGATTTTAGCAGATATAAACATTGTCAAATCTGTTTGTAGAAAGGTGTAGAGAGCAGAGACACAGCATATTTATTTATTCACTTAGTTAAGCAGATACCTGCTGTGCTAGTCAGGTAATAAAAAGGCTCACAGACAGATGGAGGCTGTACAGAGTTATGTAAATAAGTAATAAGACAGTATGATAACGCATATTATAACAGTATTGTGGGGTAACTCTGGCTTGAGTTAGGGGCAGTTAATGGAGTCTTGAAGAATGAATAAAAACACAATAATCTTAAGTGTAAAATAAAAAATGACTGAAGTAGGAAGGTGAAAGTGGTGTTAAAAAGAAAATTCAGAAGAGTTTTTAGTGAGGAGTTTGGATGTGGAAATATAGGAGAAATAAAAACCAAAGATTTTTATTTGGAATGATTAACTCTTTGGTGATAAGAGAATAGAGATACAGGAAATTTAGGAGAAGAAATAGTTAGGGGGTGGTAGACAGGGAGAAAAAAGCTTAGTCTTAGATTGAGTTGGAAGTTACTGTAGGACATCCATTTGAAGATATCTTGCAAGGAGCTGAAAATAGGGGCTTGCCACTTTGGGAAGAAGTCAGTTCCAAGGATGTAGCTTTTGGTTCATTATTGCATAGAGAACTCATCAAGCTATTCAGAAAGGGTATGTAATGTGGCAAGAAAGCCAGCGATGAGGCTTTACCTGTAATACTGGCACTTTGGAAGGCCAAGGTGGGAGGATCACTTAAGGCCAGGAGTTCAAGACCAGCCTGAGCAACATAGTAAGACACCCTGTCGCTACAAAAAATGAAAAACAATTAGCTGGGTGAGCTATGACAATGTCATTGCACTCCAGCCTTAGCAACCTAGTGAGACTCTATTTTGAAAAAAAAAATTTTTTAAGCCAATGATGAAACTTCAAGCTGACATCAGTGCTTAAGGGATGGGGATCAAGAAGGCGGAAAAAAAGATACTGGGAGGACAGAGGATGTCATGTTGTAGAGGGAAATGTCTGAAGGAAGAAATAAAACTGATAAATAACATGATACTACAGATGTTTTGCCAGTTGGAAAGTAGTATTTAGTGAAGGTTTTATAGTTATGTTAGAGAAGTCGGGAAGACCCTGTAGAAAGGAACAGAGAAAACCAGTGGGAAAAACATCACAAAGTAATGATTAACTTTAGGAAAAAAGATGACTCAGGTGTGAAATATTTACATAGTCCTAATAATATAAACATTAAACATAATTTAACCAAAAAGCATATTATAACAATATTGAAAGAGTGAAAGGTAAGTATATCTTCATTTTTCATAACCAGAAACCAACAAATGATGTCCAAAATTGAAAAAATTTAAGAAATAGTATGTCACTTAGAAATAGAAAAGATAAAAAAAAAATAAATAGAAAAGATAATACAAAAGAAACCAGTAAGAGTGGCAATTTACTGTTAGGAGTGAAAATCAGAACATAAGGAGCCATGGAGTAGAAGATTATTTTCTTTTCTTTTTTTTTTACTCAGAAGCAAATGTTATACTTTAATAATAAACAGAATGACAGAAGTATTCTATTATCCCTCTATTAGCAAATACACAGAAGAACAATTATAAAATAGATTTTACTTCAAACCACTGGTTCTTACACCTAGGAACATTTATCAGAATTACATGTGGAGGTTAAAAAAAAATATTTAAGTCTAGGCCTGATACTTGGAGGAGGTTACAATGGGGATCATGACAGAAGATTATTTTCTATCATAACCTGTATATTATCCTATTTGTCATTGTAAATTGCTTTCATATATTAATTTGTATAAAATTAACATTTAAAAAGATAATTTGTTGATCACTAGAAATAGTAGCCCATTAATTTGTAGAAAATGCCTCAGCTATTTAGTTAGATGGGCTTAATTCTGAAAAGAGAATACTGTGCAGTAGTCTGCATCTCTTTCTGTCGTGAATGTGTGGATTTCTAAGCACTGTTAATTGTTTTTGAGTTTCTAAACACCGTTAACTCTTCTTTTTGGTTCTATAGGTGGATGAAAAAACCATAGGAGAACCTGGTTGGCTTTATGGTAGTTTTCAAGGAAGGTTTGGCTGGTTTCCACGCAACTATGTAGAAAAAATTCCATCAGGTGAAAAAGCTGTGTCTCCTAAGAAGGCCTTACTTCCTCCTACAGTATCTTTATCTACTACCTCAACGTCTTTTGAGTAAGTTTTTAGCTAACAGTGGAGTTTACCTAGCTCTGCAAATGTATAAATACCTAACATGTAGTTGGGTCAACTTGCTGCTTCATCATGTTATAACCTGAGCTGGACTTGCCAAGGGTACCTTTTATTTTAAATTTAATACTGAAATGTAGTAAATGAAAACATAGCTCAATAGTTTGTTCATGAATTACTTTTTTTCACAAATCATGTTTAAACACATTATATGTAATACCCAAGTTGATAAATTGATAGTAGTTCATTAAGTTCTAAACAATTAAGTATACTTGTACTTAAATGAAAATGTTTTATTTGCAGACCGCTTTCTTCAAATCAACCAGCATCAGCGACTGATTATCAAAACGTATCTTTATCAAACTTAACTGTTAATACTTCATGGCAGAAAAAATCAGCTTTTACTCGCACTGTGTCCCCTGGATCTGTATCACCTATTCATGGACAGGTATGTGTCTGTAATTTTTGTGTGCTTTATTCTTTGAATTTGCAACTAATTCCTTTAACACGGAATGAAGATTTTGTACAAAGGAATCGTTCACTCCTTTCAGAGTGTGTAGCATTCCATTTCTTTGTTATTCACATGTGATGTGAAGTTGAAAAATGATTATTGCTTAGGGTTTTACAAATCTGATTAAAATTATTCCTAATTTGTAGTTATTGTAAGAAAATAAGAGGTGGCTCAGTGCCTGTGGCTCAAGTGGCTAAGGCGCCAGCCACATACACCTAAGGTGGCAGGTTCAAATCCAGCCCAGGCCCGCCAAACAACAATAATGGCTGCAACCAAACAATAGCCAGCATTGTGGCGGGCGCCTGTAATCCCAGCTACTTGGGAGACAGAAGCAGGAAACTCGCTTGAACTCAGGAGTTGGAGGTTGCTGTGAGCTGTGATGCCATGGCACTCTACCCAGGGGGATAGCTTAAGGCTCTGTCTCAAAAAAAAAAAAAACAAAAAAAAAGAAGATAAGAGGTTTTAGGGTTGAGAATTTTTATTGTTTTTTTCTTGAATAAGTCATTTTTCTGGGAACCTTGGGACTTTGTTATATATATCTAGTTTCTGACTTAGATGAAGCCATTCCAAGTATTGTTACATTAACATCATTGAAAAGAATTGTGGACTTCATAGGAATAAAGTCTACAGATTTCATGTTCATTCAAAAAAAGGTGTATTGAATAACTATAGGTTCCAGACTTTTTTTTTTTTTTTTTGACAGAATCTCACTTTGTCACCCTCAGTAGAGAGCTGTGGCATCGCAACTCACAGCAACCTCCAACTCTTGGATTTAAGCCATTCTCTTGACTCAGCCCCCCAAATAGCTGGGACTACAGGTGCCCACCACAACACCCGGTTTTTCTTTCTTTTTTTTTTTTTTTTGTTGCAGTTGTCATTGCTATTTTAGCAGGCTGAGGCCAAGTTCAAACCTGCCACCTTTTGTATATGGGACCGGCACCCCACCTGTTGAGCCACAGGTGCCGCCCAGGTTCCCGACATTTTACTATGAACTAGAAATTTAAGGAAAATAAGTCAAAATACCTGCCATCAAGTAGTTCAAAATCTAGTGAAGGATATGGGTGCATAAATAACTGTCTGAATGTCATAATAATAATATATACAAGTTTCTGAAGGATATGCAATTGGTCGGAATTGGAGCAGTCTTCACAAATAGCAGAGTATTTATTTGAGTAGGATCTTGAAAGATAAACAGGATTTCATCAAAAAAAGAAGGAAAGTTATTCCAGTGAAAGAAAAACTTGAGAAAAGTTATTGAGGCATATTAACACAAGATGTTTGTAAGAAACAAGAATTACTAATATGGCTAGAATATAGGATTCATGCGGAAAGAGTTAAGAAGTGAAGTTGGGAGAGAAGTTGCTGTTATTTGTGAAGCATGTAATAGCCTGCTCAACTTGGCAGTGGAATGTCCCCAAAAATTTATAAGAGAGGAGTTGATGTGCATGTTTCAGTACAGTGATGGGTGCAGAACCTAAAGTAGAACAGACTAAGGGGTGAAATTGGAAAACAAGTTAAGACCATTCTTTGAGGAATTTAGAAGTAGAGAAGATTGAAGAGAGAGACAGATTGTTACAAAATACTTTTAGAAAATGAGAGGGCAGAAGAGAAATTTGGAGTACAAGTGAAGAGGTTAACCTTATTAAAAGAACAAAACACTCCTTCCTGGGATCGGGGGGATAAAGAAGAATGAATAAGAACCCAAAGAAGGCTTGACACCCGTAGCTCAGTGGGCAGCCATCTGTATGTGGCTGGCACGTTTGAACCCGGCATGGGCCTGCTTAAAACAACAATGACAGTGGCAAAAAAATAGCCGGGCATTGTGATGGACACCTGTAGTCCCAGCTACTTGGGAGGCAGAGGCAGGAGACTTGCTTGAGCCCAGGAGTTGGAGGTTGCTGTGAACTGTGATGCCACAGCACTCTACCTAGGGGGATAGCTTGAGGCTCTGCTGGGTGATGCCTGTGGCTCAGTGAGTAGGGCAACAGCAAGTTCAACCCCAGCCCCAGCCAAACTGTGACAAAAAAATAGCCGGGCATTGTGGTGGACACCTGTAGTCCCAGCTACTTGGGAGGCAGAGGCAGGAGACTTGCTTGAGCCCAGGAGTTGGAAGTTGCTGTGAACTGTGATGCCACAGCACTCTACCCAGGGGTATAGCTTGAGGCTCTGCTGGGTGACGCCTGTGGCTCAGTGAGAAGGGCAACAGCAAGTTCAACCCCAGCCCCAGCCAAACTGTGACAAAAAAATAGCCAGGCATTGTGGTGGGTGCCTGTAGTCCCAGCTACTCGGGAGGCTGAGGCAAGAGAATTGCCTAAGCCCAAGAGTTTGAGGTTGCTGTGAGCTATGATGTCAAGGCACTCTACCAAGGGCAACATAATGAGACTGTCTCCAAAAAAAACCCAAAAACACAAATTAGGCAGAGCTAAGTGGCTTATACCTATAATCCTAGCACCCTGGGAGGTCCAGGCGTGTGGATAGCCTAAGCTCAGGAGTTGGAGCCCAGCCCGAGCAAACTAGCTAGACATTATGGCAGATGCCTATAGTCCCAGCTACTGGGGAGGCTGAGACAAGAGGATCACTTGAACCCAAGAGTTTGAGGTTGCTGTGAGCTATGACACCATGGCACTCTACCCAGGGTGACAAAGTGAGACTCTTGTTTCCCCAAAAAAAGAGTACAAAGAAGTTAAGAGTCAGAGAGCAGAAAAATGGAGGGAGGCCACTTGAGTGTAACTGCATCTTATTTCCTAGTGGAATAAACTGAGTCGACCATGGTGAAAAGACAGTGGAAACTGGAGGAGAAGAAAGATTTACAGTAACTCTTTTCCCTTCCATTTGTTCTATGACATATATGTATTTCATAGATGAATGAATACATTTCTTGAGCACCCCTATACTACCTTCTACACTGTGATGATGTTTTATTGAGTGGTAGATATTCAGTCTGTCTTAGGCTACTCAAATTGTTGTCTGTCTTATATAATTTTAACTGGTCTATGGTTTGAACAGGAAGTATGTTATATACTCAGAAACAGAATTATAGTTATTATCTCCTTTTAAATTTTTGTGGTTTTGTTTTCACAGGGACAGGTTGTGGAAAACCTAAAAGCACAGGCCCTTTGTTCCTGGACTGCAAAGAAAGATAATCACTTGAATTTCTCAAAACATGATGTTATTACTGTCTTGGAGCAGCAAGAAAATTGGTGGTTTGGGGAGGTGCATGGAGGAAGAGGGTGGTTTCCCAAATCTTATGTCAAGATCATTCCTGGGAGTGAAGTAAAGCGGGAAGAGTAAGCATCTTTGTGTGTGTCATGTGAAGTGTAGATGTTGGTATTTTTGCTGGTGAGTTAGCCATGGTATGACTGATTAATAAAATGTAAAAGTTTATGTTTTAATTTGATTATCAGAGAAATATTTCTTATGGTGAAGAAAGCATATTTCTTATTTGTTTTAGGTTTAGGATATCTTCTAGTTATTTCAGATTTGTAAAGTTTTCAGAATACCTTAAATTCTAAGATCTGTTGCTGTCCTTGTTCCATAAGTTCAGTTAGAAAAGTTGCTTTTCAATTCCTTTCAAGCATTTCTCCTTTGTTTACTATAAATTGTGAATATTTCAAATATTGTTTACTGAAGGCCTCCCATTTGCCAAGTTGGGGCATTCCCATCTCTGGGTCTCCAGGGTTCCTTTGAACGTAACCTCTCATTGCTCATAACACACCATATTATAGTTACTGACATGTTCTTATTAGGTCATGCGCTCCCTGAGGGTGGGATGCATGTCTTTTTTTATTAATTGTTTTTGGTTTTAATGCCTATTATGATCTTAAAGCATAGTAGCTGCTCAGTCACATTAGCTCTGTAAATGAAGAGAGGAGCAAATGAATGAACAAAAACTCAAAACCAAACAAGTCAAGTTCTCTGGTTTTTATTTCCCAGTTTGTAGGAGAGTCCAGTTGTCAAATGTCTTTACTATAAGAAAATAAGTACTGTAATATAGCTGTGGATAATCTAAATAGAAAGCAGTCTGATTTAATGAAAAGATGTTTGTCTTTGGAAAGCAAGAGACTTGAATTCTGGTTCTGCTTTTGGTGCCAGGCTGTAAGGAGTAACCTACTTGTTCTTCAGTTCTATAGTTGATTGAATGAAAACATTAAATGGTCTTTAAGAATTCTTTTTTTGTAGATTACTAAATATAATTTTAAATTTGATAACAGATGTATGTATGATTGATTTAAAAAATATTGAAACATTAAGCCATGAAATTCTACTCTACATAAGTGGATATGGGATATCTTATTCCTTACCATCTTTTCTTATTATAAATGAGAAACTCAAAATACTTTCTAAATATATTCAGACTGAATTGCTATAGGGAAGTGCCCATAAAGTGAGAGCTTTGTATATAGAATTCAGGAATTATCTTTTTTTTTTTTTTTTTTAGACAGAGCCTCAAGCTGTCCCCCTGGGTAAAGTGCCCTGGCATTACAGCTCACAGCAACCTCCAACTCGTGGGCTCAAGCGAGTCTCCTGCCTCCGCCTCCCAAGTAGCTGGGACCACAGGCGCCCGCCACAACGCCCGGCTATTTTTTGGTTGCAGCCGTCATTGTTGTTTGGTGGGTCCGGGCTGGGGATTCGAACCCGCCACCTTAGGTGTATGTGGCTGGCGCCTTAGCCGGTTGAGCTATAGGCGCCGAGCCCAGGAATTATCTTTAAAAATTGAGCATGGATTTAAAAAATCTTTGAAATTATCTTTAAAATTTTTGCCTGGGTTTAAATTTAACTTTTTGCTTCTGATGTGGTGTGAGATGATCTTGGTCTAAAGCTGTGTTTTATAAAAGAGTAGGCCAGGGAAAGACTACGCAGTGCGCGTAGCTCAGTCAGCAGGGCGCCAGCCACATACACTGAAGGTGTTGGGTTTGAACCCGGCCTGGCCAGCTAAAAAAACAACAGTGCAACTGCAACAAAGAAAATAGCCGGGCATTGTAGCAGGCACCTGTAGTCCCGGCTACTTGGGAGGCTGAGAAAAGAGAATCACTTAAGCCCAAGAGTTTGAGATTGCTATGAGCTGTGATGCGACGGCACTCTACCCAGGGCAACAGCTTGAGACTCTGTGTCAAAAACAAAAGACTAGGCCAGGGCACATTTTCTCAGGACATCTTAAGATAATATGCTCTGGCTAATCATACACGTTCTACTCAAATCTATTTAAACAAACTAACAAACAGAAACTCTTAAAAAAAAAAAAGATCAGGTCACATTTCTATAGAAAACACCTTGCTTTGTCAATTCTCTCTCTTACGTAGGCATTAAGTAATTTTCCAGTTCTAGCTACAAAGATTCAGAATTAAGGATTCAGAGTGCTGGCTCAGCGCCTGTGGTTCAAGCGGCTAAGGCTCCAGCCACATACACCTAAGGTGGCAGGTTCGAATCCAGCCCGGGCCTGCCAAACAACAATAATGGCTGCAACCAAAAATAGCCGGGTGTTGTGGTGGGCACCTGTGGTCCCAGCTACTTGGGAGACAGGAGACTCGCTTGAGCCCAGGAGTTGGAGGTTGCTGTGAGCAGTGAAGCCATAGCACTCTACCCAGGGGGACAGCTTCTCTGTCTCAAAAAAAAAAAAAAAAATTCAGAGTGCTTATCAGTATATCACTCAAAGATTTTCTATTTTGAATCTCTAGATAATTTTTTAGCAAATTTCAACTCAAAAGGAACAAAACTATGGCAGGTTTGTGTGTGTGTGTGTCTAAGTGTCAGTATTGTATGACATTAAAGGACTTTCTGAACTATGCCACAGATTAACTGTTTTATATTTGAAACCAGCTTTAATTATTAAAATTGTATACCAGGAAATTAGGGCTGTTGGAGTAATTGGTTACAAAAAACTTGCTATTGGGTGTTGGGTCAGAGAATGCTTTCAGTGATAAGTTTCTGTGTATCAATGTTTAGTTCAAAGGTGGAATTTACTTTTCATGCTAACATGGAATTTTAGATTTAGAAGTCTGTAATAACAGTAACAACAACAATATACAGCAGACATTTTTATGCCAACACCATGCTAGGTATTTTGTAGGAATTATCTTGTTTGATGTCCATAGCATAAGAGAAGAAAACTTGTTTACATGGGTAGAGCTGGAAAATATTCTTCTTAGTAAAGTATCTCAAGAATGGAAGGAAAAGTATCCAATGTACTTAATACTTTTATGAAACCAATTTATAATTACTCACATTTTCTTAGGAAAGATCACAACTATAGCCTAGGATGAAGGAGAGAAGTAGACGGGGATCGGAGGGGAGGGAAAGGTTTGATAGAGGGAGGGTAAATGATGGGACCACACCTGTGGAGCATACTGTAAGGGTACAAGTCAAATCTACCAAGTATGGCTCATAAATGTCTTAACACAACAATTAAGTGAGGTGAAAGCTATATTAATTAGTTTGATGTAACCATTCCAAGTTGTATAAAAAACCCCAACACTTTATACCCCACAAAAGCATAAATGTATTTATGATCTATGTGTATATGACAAAAAAAGAAAAGAAGAAAACTTAAGCAAAAAGATTAATTTTAAATATTTTAGAGGCCATTTTTTCTGATTTTTTATTTAATTGCCTATTTTTTCTAATATAAAAGCCACATAACTTAAAAACCTGCAGTAATGTAGAATTTGGCAATAAACAAGATAGGTCATATATTTGTAGCCAGGAGTTGTAGTAAGAGTCCCTTCTGTTTATTTGAAAACTGTCTCACTGTGTGGGAAACCCAGTGCCTCTCATGGGTGTCTAGTTCTAAACATGACAGTCTTCCAGATTTTTAAAAACCGTTTCCTAGGTTAAAATGGAAATTAATGTAATCGCTGTTTTGAGACATAAGTTTTATTACTTTTACATTTTTTAATGGAGTGCACTCTTAACAAAGAAAATGTATAGAGTGCCCTTGTTTTTTCCTAGACCAAAATAAGCCCCATATGTGCCACACCAAAAGACTGTCCATTTACCAATATGCTGATGTCTTTTAAGTTTCTTTAGAAATGTGAAATATCTGACATTTGAAAGACTATTTATAAATCATATTGAAATTATTCGAATATATTTTAAAATGTAGACATTTGTAATTAGTTCTTGTCTCAGCAGGGTTTGTGTATGAGAGTCTTCCTGGTCCATACTAAGACAGTATTTAGATTAATTTGAGAAAGCCCTAAAAGAATGTACTGCTAAAACCTGATGTGTTCATCAAATCACCTTTTGTATTTTTGCTTGTTTGTGTCTTTTTGGAGTTTCATTGTTTTTTGTTTGTATGTTTATTTGGCAGACCAGAAGCTTTGTATGCAGCTGTAAATAAGAAACCTACCTCTGCAGCTTATCCAGGTGGAGAAGGTAAGCTTTTGGCAGCTTGTAAATAAGATAGGAATCAGTTCAGCTACTGACTAATTAACTGACTTCATACAGTTTTTATTCTCCCTGTTTCTGCATCTTCTAGTGTTAAAGGTAAAGTTAGGAAAACCTGCCCCTATCTGTTTCACATGAAGTGTAAGAAGATAGAAGAAATATGGCTGAAAATACTTGGCACTTTTAGAGAGGCAGTGCTTCAGCATAGACTGGCTTAAAAAGATCATAAATAAAGAGTGTTGCAGTGAATGATGATAGATGTTTGGGAGGTAAGGAAAATTCAGTCTGTGTAGTTGCTTAAATTTTATTTTGATTACAGTGTCATAAATCGTTAAGGGAGATCAGAGTACACTCTATCATAAATATTTCAAAGAATTTTTAATGTCTCTTTGGTTTTAATTAATAAATTATTTTGATTGTGTCAGTAAAGAAAAACAAAAGGTTGTTTACCGTAATTTCAGACGATATTTGTATGTAATAGTTACATAGATTTATAAATGAAATATATATGTTTATTGTAGAATTAGTTGAATAGTTGAAGTACATTTTATTTTTAATTTGACAAATCAGTTTAATGATAAATTAAACAGTTCATTTGGTATCTGCCATGTTGACAATGCCATGCTGAAAAATACAAGGATAAGAATAAATAAAACACAATCTCCGAAATGCTTACAGTAGAATGGAGCGTACGTACAGTTGTGATAAATTCCATAATGAGTGAACAAAACAATTTTGAGTAGGACCTATGAACCTACAGAGGTGGCAGTGTTACATCATCCTAAATAGTGGGTAGGATCTTGTGTAGTGACAAAGAAAGAGAAAGTGGTTCTGATCCTCCCGGACAATGGGAATGACATGAGCTGAAGTGAGGCATCATGGTGGAACTTCGGGGTACTTCAGTTTACCAATGAGGCTAGAACCAGAGGTGTTTTGTGGAATGAGTGCTCTGAGATGAGCGTAGGAAGGTAGTGAGGAGCACTTTGGAAAGGACCTTACTTACTGAAGTATCCCTAAACCTTGTAATCACTTTGTTTTGTTAAATCAGCTCAAATGAGTAATACTAAGAATGTGGATAACAAATAGGTTGTAGTTAGTGTTTCTAATCCTTTCTAGCTGATGATATTCAGATCAAACTCCACGTTGGCAATCATAAATAAAACTTTATAAAAAGTAAAGAGAAAGACTGCTAAAACTCACTGTTTCTTGTAACTAGTAGTAATCATAGGAGCAAAAGTCAAAACCAATATAAACATTCAGAAATTTCCCTTGCAGTAATAAACAAATATTAATTTATTTAAATTTCAGATTAATGTGAGGTACAAACAGATTCCATAGTTTGCATTTGTAAGGTTAAAATCTGATTTATCTATATGCCATATACCCATATAATGTACTTGTTGAATGGGAATTTACTCAACCCATTTCCTCCTCCCTGCCTTCCTCTGCTTGAATTTCATTAAGTTTTTCTCTCATGTGAGCATACAGGTGTTAATCTGCTAGTTCCAGTTTAGTACTGGGTATGTGATACTTGTTTTTCCATTCTTGTAGTACTTCACTTTGAGAATGGTCTCCAGTTTCATCCAGGTTGTTGCAAAAGATACATAATCTTCATCTTTTTTATTTACTCTGTGGTATAAATACACCACAATTCATTAATCCTTTCCTTTGTTGAAGGGGGCACATGGGTTGTTTCAGCACCTTTGCAGTTGTGAATTGTGCTGCTGTAAACATGCAAGTGCAAGTGTCTTTATGGTAGAATGCCTTTTTTTCCTTTGGGTAAATACCTAGTAACAGGATTGCAGGATCGAATGGTTGGTCTACTTTTAGGTCTTTGAGGAATTCCCATACTGCCTTCCATAGAGGCTGCACCAGTCTGCAGTTTTACCAACAGTGTGTAAGTGTTGCTTTCTCTCTGCATCCATGCCAGTATCTGTTGTTTAGAAGCCGTTTTCTTTCTGGGGTTAGGTGATATGGTTTTGATTTGCATTTCTCCGATGATTAGAGACATTGAGCATTTTTTCATTTGTTTGTTGGCCATTAGTCTTTCTTTGCAAGATAAGTTCCTATTCACATCTCTTGCCCGCTTTTTAATATAGTTGTTTGATTTTTTTCTTGTTGATTTGCTTGAGTTCTTTGTAGATTCTGATTATCAGCTCTATGTCAGATAAGTAGCATGCAAATATCTTTTCCCATTCTGTAGGTTGTCTTTTTGCTTTATTGTGTCGTTCATTGTGCAGAAACTCTAACTTAATCAGGTCCCATTTATTTATTTTTATTGTTGCTGCAATTGCCAGTGGGTTCTTCATCATGAATTCTTTCTCTAGGTGGATAAGATTTAGAGACTTTCCCACACTTTCTTCTAGGATTTTTATAGTTTTGTGTCTTAGTTGAAACCTTTTATCCGTCATGAGTTACTTTTTGTTAAGTGGTGAGAGATGCAGGTCCAGTTTCAGTCTTTTACATGTGGTTAACCAGTTTTCCCAGCACCATTTATTGAGTAGAGAATCTTTTTCCCAGTGTGTGCTTTTGTGTGCTTTGTCAAAGATGAGATGGCAATATCAGGCTGTCTCATCTCTAGGTTCTCTACTGTATTCCGTAGATCTGTGTCTCCATTTTTGTGCCAGTACCATGCTGTTTTGATCACTATAGACTTGTAGTTTAGTCTGAAGTCTGGTAAAGTGATGCCTCCATTAGTGTTGAGGTTGGATTCCATACGAATCCCAAAACTATTTTTTCTATATCTGTGAAAAATGATGTTGGTAATATAATGGGAATTGCGTTGAATCCATAGATCAGTTTGCATAATATAGACATTTTAACAATGTTGATTCTTTCAAGCCATGAGCAGGATCCATTCTTCTATCATTTGACATCCTCTGCAATTTTAAACGAATATAAATTGAGCGTCTATTTCAAGTCAGGGACTATGTTAGGGGCTGGCTGGGTCATTGTGATGGAACTTGGTTTCTAGTGCTGCCATTTGCTAGATATTGAACATTTCTTTATATAAAAGAATTAAAGTGAAAAGAATTTAGCAGATTAAAATATATTTTGTATAAGAAGGTTAAAAGATAACTTTGCCAGCCAGATGTGGTGGCACACACCTGTAATTCTAGCACTCTGGGAGGCTGACAAGGGTGGATTGCCAGAGCTAAAGAGTTCAAGACCAGCTTGAGCAAGAGCAAGACCCCCCTCTCTACTAAAAATAGAAAAACTAGCTGGGTGTTATAGCAGGTGCCTATCGTCCCACCTATGCGGTATGATGCTATGGCACTCTACCTCAGGGTGATAGAATGAGACGGTGTCTCAAAAAAAAAAAACCCAAAAAACCTTTTCCTATCTTTGACTCTATTATCTAAGTAACTGAGTGACGTAATCTTACTGAACCTCAGTTTCATTATTTGTAAAGTAAAAATACTAATATCTGTTAAAATAAACCCCAAGATAAAGCTTTATATCAAATAACCTTTTTGTAGGGATTTATTAAATAATTCATTCCCCTTTCTATCCTCAGATCTTTTTATATTAGGCTTCCTTAAAGCACAAAATCCTGGCTCAGTGCCTGTGGCTCAAGTGGCTAAGGTGCCAGCCACATATACCTGAGCTGGCAGGTTGGAATCCAGCCCGGGCCCGCCAAACAAAGATGACTGCAACCAAAAAATAGCCAGGCGTTGTGGCGGGCACCTATGGTCCCAGCTACTTGGGAAGTGGAGGCAAGAGACTCGCTTGAGCCCAGGAGTTGGAGGTTGCTGTGA